TTGGGCAGGCAGCCCAGCTGTCCCAAGGCTGCCATAAGAAGGCCTGAATTGTGTGAGGCACAAGAGCGCCCAGCTGTGGGCAGCAGGGAGACCGGCTCATGTGGGCCAGCTGAGCCTGGTGCCCACGGGCTGCATCCACCCAGAGAGGGAGGGAGCCTTTCTCTGACCACTAACTGCGCACATGAGTGACTGCAAGCCTGCATGGGCGACCAAGGGCAAGAAACACCAGAGAACAAGGGCACATAATATCCTGGGGGTGCCAAAGCCAGAACCAAAAAAAGCTAGGTCCACCATGGAACCCCAGAGGAAAACATGGAGCTAGAATTAAAGACAAATGTAAGGTATCACACGGTCACAAACAATGACTAGGTGACAAAACAAACAGAAACACGGTCACAAACAATGACTAGGTGGCAAAGTAAATTGATGACTTACTAATTGCCCAGCAGAGTTCCGACAGACAATTTCTCTCTCTCTCTCTCTCTCTCTCTCTCTCTCTCTCTCTCTCTCTCTCTCTCTCTCTCTCTCTCAGGAACGCAAACACACTGAGGAAGACATCTGCACTGAGGAAAACATCTGCTTTTCCAAAATCTTTGACATCCACATGTCAAACAGAGCTCACCGTTTCTCAGATGCACTATTCTGGGCCCTTTCCCACCCCGTCACCCACCCAGGGGATACCATCCCTCCCGCCAGCCCACCTGTGTCTGCATTTCCCCCAAAGCAGTAGCCTTGGGAAACCAGCCTCACTGAGTACTTATCAAGAACAAACTTGTAACAGTCTCATTGCCGTCCTCTCCCCACCCCAAAGTGTACCCTCCTCAGGGAGACGGCCCTCTGTGTTGGAGTCTGATGTGTGTCGTGGTGCTCTTTCCTGTCAGACTCTGACAGTGGACCACATACACTCTGCTCCTTGAAGCAGGTACCCCGCACATATTCTCAACAGTCAGCAGTTAGCCAGACTCCACAGCCATTCAAGACAAAGAAGTCAGCACGTGCAGGTATGAAGTTAGTAAAACAAAATACAAGTAGATTAATTTTCCCACATCTTTAATGATAAACTTAATTGTTTCCTATAAAGAAAGTAGGCTTAAGTGAAATATGACTTCCATAAGTCACTAAAATTATTCTGAATTTGACACCCCCAGATCTGAACTTTACTTTTATCTTCTTGTTTAAAAATTTTGATTGTTAAAATCAGCAAAAATACCACCAGTTTAATAATCATAACTACACATCTTCCTCCTAACACAAACACATACACACACATACACACACACCCCTCTGTGTTCACACACATGTGAGTGGACACACACACACTCAAGCTCGTACACACAGGCACACACACACACACATGGGCACATGAGCACACATGCATGCACACCTGAATTCATTTCTCTCTGATTCTCAGCCCTTGAGCTCCAGGACCTCAGCTTCCTGTCCCTGCCAGTCAGGCTTCTACAGCCCTCACCTTGAGGGTACTTGAAACCAGGTTCCCACTTGGGTACCAAAGGGCTCAGGTAAGCGAAACACTTGAGTCTTAAGGCTGTGGAGTCCCTGACCTGAGCAATAGGAAAAAATGTGGGGATACCATTTCCTCAGGAAGTGACTTGTAACTCCATTGCACATCAAGGACGTAGCTGGCATTGGGTTAAACAAACATCTTTGACAACATAATCTCATTGGATCCTTATTTATTTAATAAAAGCCATGAAGTGGTTATTATTCTCCCCATTTTATAGCTTAAGAAACTGAGGCTCAGAGAAGCCAAGTAACATACTGAGGACTAAGATCCAGATAGAGATTACAATTCAGATTGAAAACCAAAGCAGTCATTTCCAAATCCAAGATTTTTCTGGGGCTTGGTTTCTAGTCTTTTTTTTTTTTTCTGGCTTTTAACTCTTTTTAAAACTCTAAACACACACACTCTAATGCCTCACTCAAGCCTTAGCTTGCCAGGGTCACCAGAGCTTCAATTGCTCTGTCACATGATGTCATCTTGTATAGATGCCAACATGTCCCAGCCCTTACCAAACACGTTTGACTTTCTTATAAAGCCATCTTTTGAGGTGAGTGGATTGCCTGAGCCCACGGGTTCGAGACCCGCCTGGGCAACTTGGCGAGACCTCATCTCTACAATAAATCAAAAAATCAGCCGGGCGAGGTAGCACGCACCTGTAGTTCCAGCTCCTTGGAAGGCTGAAGCAGAAGGATCGCTGGAGCCCAGAAGGTCGAGGCTGTGGTGGCCGGGAGCGGCCACTGCACTCCAGTCTGGGTGACACAGTGAGACTCCGACTCAAAAATAAATAAATAAATAAATAAATAAATCCATCTTTGACAGGAGAGGCTGTAAACCTTCCCTGGTCTTCACATTTCAGACCTGTGCATGTCCCTACATGAAAAAAAAAAAAAAAAAGGTGAAAGCGAGAGAACCCTACCTCTGAACACCTGCAGTGGCCTCAGATAGAAGCCTGACAGGGCCAGGCCCATCCACCTGGCACAAGTTCTCATCAAGGTGTCAGAGTGAGTTTCACAATCACAAGGGGCAGGTCATGTCATACCATATCCTCTTATAGCTTGAGCAATTCTGGTGATTTTTGGCACTGCTTGTCTGATGCTCCTGTCTCTAATGAAGAATGTGAGTCATTGTTAGATATCAGTGACTCTTCATTGAAACAAAACAAGACAACATTCCTGACTTGGAAGTGTCATCCACTACCCCGAAGCTTGAAATGTTAGTGCTTGGTCAACCTAGTTCCCCCTCAGCTGCCAAAGCGCTCCTTTCAAGGAAGGTGTCGATCAAATCCATCCTTTTACTCTCCAGAGTCTTCAATCTTCACGGGAAATAAAATCAGAACCTCCCCAGAACCGATGAACCCCCACATCCCCGACCGGGGCCAGGCCTTGCCGGCTGATCGCCTCTCTCTTATTCTTCACACCCAATGCACCCAAAGCCTCCCCCCTTCCTTCAGAGTCATCTGTCTTGTTCCCTCCCTTGACTTCCTGGTCTCTCTGTCTGAAATGCTCTTTCTCTCTGGTCTGTTACCCCTCAATCTCATTTACAGGCTGGGCCTTGGGTTTTCTCACTTGGTTGTTGTTTGCATGTTTTTTGTTTGTTTGGTTTGGTTTGTTTTGGTTTTGAAACAAGATCTCACTCTGTCTCCCAGGCTGAAACGTAGTGGTGCCATCATAGCTAGAACTATAGTCTGGAACTCCTGGGCTCAAGTGATCTTCCCACCTTAGCCTCCTGAGTAGCTAGAATTACAAGTGCACACCACCATGCCTGGAATTATTTTTTTTAAAGAGAGGAAGTATTCCTAATGTTTCTCGATCTGGCTGGCCTCAACTCCTGGGCCTCAAGCCATCCTCCCACCTCAGTCTCCCAAAGTGCTGGGATTATAGGCGTGAGCCACTATGCCCAGCCTATGTTTTTTTAAACATTGGTAAATCTGGACACCGCTTAGTGCAGTCATCTGACAGAAAGATAATCCCAACAGCATATACATAAAAGCATGTATATGCTGTTGGGATAGGACTACTGAGCCAGGTTCACTAGAATACAAAATAAGCCTATCCGAGTTCTCCATCATCTGAAGCAGACTCCAGGCAACTGAGCAGAGAAAACCCACTCCAGCAGAATTCCAGTCCCACACCATAGAGCTATGGAAAGCCACAGGAGTACTGGGGAGGGGGAAAAAGAGGAGGCCAAAGCCAAGGCTAGTAGATCCCACACTCCTCATAGCCGCTGGATTCCCCTCCCCTTGCTACTTCTTCCTACCTACAACCTACCAGCATAATGTGTGTGTGTGTGTGTGTGTGTGTGTGTGCGCGCGCGTGTGTGTGTATGTGTGTGTGTGTGTGTGTGTGTGTGTGGTGGATGTATGTGGCTATAGTATGTGAGTATATCTATATATGGTATGTGGGCATGTATGAGTATAGATGAGATACATATATTAAAATAGATTTATATTCCCTTCGTGCTGATTTCTCTTTATTCCAAATATTTGCAGATCCCTGCACTTCGTGTTTCAAAATGAATAACTCCTATGTCTCTAAGGCACTTGCATAGGGATTTGCCATTCTCCCTCCCACCACCTTCTTCCCAGACATGAAACCCAGCTCAACAGGTGGAGACTTTCCCTTTGAAGGAAGTCACAGACCATGTGTTGGGGTGAGTGACTCCTCCATCTGATGGGAAAACACTGGTGACTTTTCATTTATACAAGACAACTACTTTTGGAATTAACAAGTGAAACAGACTGGAAGCGCTGGCTCAAGTCTCCCAGCACTTTGGGAGGCCAAGCCGGGAGGATAACTTGAGCCCAGGAATTCGAGATCAGCCTGGGCAACATAGTAAGACCTCATCTCTACAGAAAATTTAGAAAAAAAAATTTTTTTTTAATTAGCCAGGTACATGCATATAATCCCAGCTACTCAGGAGGCTGATGTGGGAGGATAACCTAAGCCCCAGAGGTCGAAACTGCAGTGAGCTGTCATTGTGCTAATTAAATCACTCCAGTCTGGGTGACAGGGTGAGATCCCCCAACTCAAAAAAAAAAAGCAAAACAGACAATTGTAATTTTTGTACCAGAATAAGAGTTTATTAGGAGGTTTTAAAAAATGATTTTTTATTGCATCTCCAAAAACCAAAAGAGTGACAAGGAAGATTTATTCCAATTACATTGTTTCATAGCATGCCCTTCAGCTCTGCCAGACTCAGTAGAATTATTTTTAAATCACATCCAGATAAGTTCTGTTAATGCATGGCTTGTCATGCAAATGTGACTTTATGATAATAGATGCCCCTTGGTCCTGCTATAAGTCTCTTATGTGACTTGGAGGACGAATTTTGCAGTCTCTTGTGCTGAAGGGTCAAGTCAAGGAATGCCACGGACAGCTGGAACTGCCCCCTGGAAGTTGGGGCTGGTGGAATGATTCCACCTCTGGCCAGAGGGTGGTCAACGTGGGAGACACTAGGATGACGCTGAGTTGATGCAATGCTCCTCCTCCTGGCAGTGGGTCCTCTAGCACATGAAGGTGTTGCATGGCCCACACCGAGCACGTGTGGTGCAGGGATTGGAGATACACGGTCCAAAGGGCCTGTCACATGCATTGGTCGTACTGCAGGGGTTGCAGGGGAGCCTGTGGACCGAAAATCATTGCAGCAAGTCAGAGTAAAATGAGCCAAGGAGATAGGAAGGAACTAAAGCTGCTTTGCATAAGAATACCATTCTCAGGCCAGGCTCAAGCCTGTAATCCCAGCACTTTGAAAGGCCAAGGTGAGAGGATCGCCTGAGCCCAGAGGTTTGGGACCAGCCTGGGCGACTTGGCAGACCTTGCCTCTTCAATAAATCAAAAAATTAGCTGGGTATGGTGGCACACACCTGTAGTTTTAGCTACTTGGGAGGCTGAGGTGGAAGGATCTCCTGAGCCCAGCAGTTTGAGGCTATGGTGGCCACTGCATTCCAGCCTGGGCAACAGAGTGAGACCCTGACTCAAAAAAAAAAAGAATTCCATTCTCCCTTGGACCACCTCCAAACAAAATATTGAAATTACAAATTCATTTCCATCAAGAAGATGATTGTCCCCACAGCAACCTCCCCATGGACATGAAGGACATGACCAGGGTCAGACTCACTTGCAGTCCTCGCTCTCCAGAAGGCCTCGGTACGTGCTGATCTCACATTCCAGCCGTGCGCGCACGTCCAGCAGCACCTGGTACTCCTGGTTCTGACGCTCCAGGTCACAGCGGATCTCGGCCAGCTGTTCCTCCACGTTGGTGATCATGCACTGCACCTGGGACAGCTGGGAGCTGTAGCGGGCCTCGCTCTCGGTCAGCGTGTTTTCCAGAGAGTTCCTCTGTGGAGGGGAAGATCAGGAACATCAGAGAGCAGCTCCTTGAGAGGATTTCTCCCTGGGGCTCCAGAGACATCCCAGGCTCTAAGAGTTAAGTGGGGGGAGAGATATGGTCTCAAGGGTACCCCCATTGCTCAGCAGTGGGTCCAAACAACACACACCAGGTTGTGCTGGGCCTGCAGTTCGATCTCCAGGGCGTTGACCGTGCGTCTCAGTTCGATGATCTCCGCCTGGCAGGACTGCAGCTGCTCTGAGCTGGACACCACCTGCTTGTTCAGCTCCTCGGTCTGCAACACCCAACAGGAGAAGCCGGGATCAGACCCTGCCTGAGGACCCTTGGGGCCTCGGGTATGGAGTGGCCACGTACTTAGATGCCCACCTGTGTGGTGAACCATTCCTCCACTTCCCTGCGGTTGGTGTCCACCAGGGCCTCGTACTGGCACCTGGTCTCGTCCAGCACGCGGTTCAGGTCCATGGTGGGGGCAGCGTCCACCTCCACGTTGAGGCGGTCTCCAATCTGGCAGCGCAGGGTGTTGACCTCCTGATGGAGAAGGGGCCATGGTGTAAATTTCACAGAGGATCCTGTTACTCTCCTTAGGAGAATACTATTCAACTTCTGGTCTCTCTTCCTCTTTCAACTAGCTACATTTTCTCTGATCCTCTCAATAACCAGGATCTATATTCAGTGACTAATCTGTGCATTTCACTTTACAAAGTGCTTTCAAGTCCGTGACCTCTCTTTGCCCTTCATACACATTGAACCATATTCCTCCTGTAGAGAGATGCAGTGATTTGGCGTCAGAGCTGAGACATGGTGGACCCCGATTTCAACTCTGCCCCAAAACACCCGGTTCAGTGTTTTCGCTATTGTATCACACAGCCTCTTATGCTTCCTCGGGTACTGAAAAGGACAGAGGCTGGCTAAAGAGGAAAGAAAGCGTACCTCAGAATCTTTTATCCTGGGATAGAATAGTCTTAACTGGTGATTTGCTGATTCCTCCAGTATAGATTTTGCTGAAGGAACTAAGTAGATACTTAGTTCACTTCCTGGCTATGCATAGCCTGCCTTTGGGCTTAGGTGCACTTCAGGCAACTCTGGGTTAGGTCTCATCTCAACCACTGATTATTCAGCTTCTAGAAACTTCTTGAAGCTTCCATTTCTTCTTCTTAAGAGGAGAACTGCTTCTGGAGTTCTAAAGCACTTTGCACAATGTGTGGCACATGCTTACCACTCGATTAATATTAACTGTCACCCTTTACATGACTCTGGGACTTAAGGATTGCACGGAACATCTGCCTTCACCCCGTGCAGCTGACTGAGCTGTGATGGTGAGCATTTTATCTGACATTGCTTCAAGTAACCCTGAACAGTAGAAAGAGCTCTGGACAGGAATGAGGAGACTTGGCATCGTGTTCCAACTCAGGCCTCTCTGCTGTCCCAAGGTCCTCCTGCCCTCTCCAGTTACAAAATGGAGTTTGGGATGAAAGATTACCACAGCGTGCACTCTGACTAGGCACAGGGGAAGCTGAGGCTGCTGCCTTGTTGCTGAACTTTCCTCATTCCTAGGTTTGCTAACTTCCCCACTCTTGTTCCTGCCTCTGGCAGAAAATCCTAATCTCCTATCATGAATGTTTAGGTTACTCATTCTCTACAAATCCCTTTTGTTTGTAGAATAGCATCCTCAATGCCTTGAGGCCCCAGCCTGTTCCTTTCCCTGTGGCCATGGGAGAACAGGATCTACGAGGCTGCAACTGTCACTCTTTGGGGAACTTCACCTGCTCATGGTTCTGTTTGAGGGACAGCAGCTCCTCCTTCAGGGACTCCACCTGGGCCTCCAGGTCAGACCTGCACAGGGTCAGCTCATCCAGGATCCTACGCAGTCCATTGATGTCCGACTCTACCAGCTGCCGCAGGGACATCTCCGTCTCGTACCTGTGATCACAGGAGGATCAGGGACAGGCTAGGCAGGGACAGGCCTGGCCTTGGCTCTGCTTTGGTTTGGTTTGTCAGACAACTAGAAATCAGGGTTTGTAGAGCTTCTTGAGTTTTTTGTTTTGGGGTTTTAGTCAGGGTCTCATTCTGTCCCTCAGGCTGAAGTGCAGTGGCACAATCACAGCTCACCGCATCCTCGACCTCCTGGGCTCAGATGATCCTTTTACCTCAGCCTCTTGAATACTGGGACTACAGGCACATGCCACCACACCCAGTTAATTTTTTGTAGAGACAAGATCTCATTAAATTGGTCTCGAACTCCTGGGCTCAAGCAATCCTCTCATCTTGGCCTCCCAAAGTGCTGGGATTACAGACATGAGCCCCTGCACCGGCCTGGGTTTGTAAATCTTATAGCCCTCTTGTTTGTTTAGGTTTTCAGCATCAAGCAGTAGGTTCTGGAATAAAATGCACTGGTAATTGTTTTTTTTAAAAAGTCAGTAGATTCAAAGGAATAAAAACTCATAAACTGTGAGATGTCCAAATCTGATACACTTCTCACATTCCCACAATTGACTTCTGTTCATAGTTGAACAGCAGGGGCCAAGACATCTATCTACACTGCCTCATGGTGTGATTGGGAGATGTCACTTTGCAGAGAGGAGGACCTCAAGAGGGGCTCTCCAAGCTCTGGGTGCAATAGCTCTTGGGGAAAGCATCTAGGAAACACTGGGTCAGGGCTTGTCGGTGTTGACTACAGGCTGAGGGGAGGGAGAGAGAAGAGAGAGAAGCAATGACACCCGCTCGCCTGCTCACTTGGTCCTGAAGTCATCTGAGGCCAGCTTGGCATTGTCGATCTGCACCACCAGCCTGGCATTCTCAGACTTGCTGCACAGTATCTAGAAGGCCCAAAACATTCTCGAATGAGCATGGACTTGGTTGTTTTTCACCAACGGTAATCCCTACTGATTCACTTATATGAAGGATCAGAATGAGAAGTCACAATGTATCCTCTATAAGACTCTTAAATGCTGTCTATGTACGTACAATAGGTATTCAATGAATATTTGAGAAATTAAATTTGGGGAAAATAGAACACGAAAAACTGCAAAAAAAAGTCTGAGTGGATAATCTTCCTTTTTCTTTCCTATAAGCAATACTGAGAAGCTGATAATAACCATAATTGGCATTTATTAAAAACACCTATGATTTGCATGACACAGTTCTGGGAGCTGATGATACAAAAATATGCCAGCACTGAATCCTGCCCTCAAGAAATGTTCATTCAGGTGGGGAAGATAAATACGTAGACAAGCAATTGCAGGGACTTGGTCAGGGCAACAACCACACACACACCCAGATGTCCTGGGGGCTTGGTACCAAATCCTCCTATTGGTTGCCAATCTCGCAGGTTTTAGCCAAACACTGGAGCCCTCCTTGGGCACTGTGCACCAGGAGAAGCCCAGAGGCATGGACATCAGGACAATGAAACCCAGATAACTGGGTACCCAGAAGACAAAGGCAGTCCATGTTCAGAACAGTCAGAGCTCACATGAGACAGCGAAAAATAGTTGAGTCTTTTCAACATGTCCTCAGCTTCACTCCTGGGCTCAGTCCCTTTCTCTTACCTCAGGGTAATAATTCTATAGCCTGGCAATTGCATGGAAGCATTCAGAGCCAGCTGTTAATTATAGCTCACTTATGCAAAGTGCTGCCACCTCCACCTAGACTAGCACTATGCAAATGCTCAGACCTAGCAGTCCTGAGTCTAACCCTCAAGAAAACAAAATGGAAAGGGCAGACTTGGACTTCTCAATCACACCAAGAGCCCACATCATTTCTCCACCAGAGCTAAGATTCTCTGCTGCCACGACTTTCTAGAGGCCATGCGGTCCCACCCCTCACCTTTTGCTGGAGCTCCTCGATGGTTCGGAAGTAGGACTGATAGTTGGCGCACACCAGGGGCTCCTGCGGCTGGCACCGCTCCCGGATGAGGCTCTCCAGCTCCGCATTGTCCCGCTCCAGCTGGCGCACCTTCTCCAGGTAGCTGGCCAGGCGGTCGTTCAGGAACTGCATGGTCTCTTTCTCATTGCCATTGAAGGAGCCCTCACAGAACCAGTTGCAGCTGCTCACGTTGGCAGGGATGTTGCAAGCCCCAGGTAGGGTGCATCCGTGGCAGCTGGGGGGCACACAGGGCCGGGAGGCACAACTGGTGTAGCAGCTCAGGCTGGGTAGGCAGCAAGAGTACGTCATGGTGAGGAAGGGAGTAGTGCCCGGTGGAAGACAGAGTCCAAGATCTCTAAGCCGCAGAGCTGTGGGTCGCCTTCCTCTGGGGTGTATTTATACCCCCTATGTGGAGGGTGTGGGCATGCAAGGCAACCCCTCTTTTCTCTCTCTCTCTCTCTCATTTGGTGATTGACAAAAACCCTCCCTCCATTTGTTATGTGTTTCCTCAGAAGAGTCCCTCCCCTCGTAAAAGACTTTACTTGGGCTTCTCGCTAAGTCAGGACTCCTCTTCCATGCCGTGTGTCATGATGCAAGAGCTTTATGGTGTGGCTTCAAAGAGCTGGACTCATGAAAGCACTGACCATCATTAGCAGGGTGTGGTAGGTTGAGGGAGCGTGTCACTACTCTGCTTCTGGCTTGAGGGCCCCAACTCCTCGGCAAGTCTCTGGCTCTTCTTGCTAGAGTGGAAAAGCATAACTCTTGCCCATGCATTTTTAGGTCAAATGCCAAATGCATGGTTCTCAGAAGGAGACATAATTCCCTTCTGAAACAGTTAAAACAACCTGGTTTCTGGTGGCCCCGTTTGCTAACATGTTGAGACTCCTCCAGATCTATGATAACGTCAGTCAACTAAGTGATACATAGGAGGGGTGACCCAAAAAACTGGAATTGTTTTTTGGAGGGCAGGCCTCTTGTAGTACAGGCTTCCCTGCTAGGTAAGTGTTCTAGGAACCCATCGGCATCAGTGTGCCAGCTAGTGTTGTTGTGAGAGGTTGCATTCAGCATCAGTGTATTTTTTTTTTTTTTTTTGAGACTCTTGCAATGCATTTGCCCATTTCATGGTGGGTGATTTATGAGTGCACCTGACTACACTGCACTGAGTGTCCAGCAGTTTTTTTACCAAAAACAGCATGAACCCCATGCCCCACCTTCCCTATTCACCTGATCTCACCCCGGGTGACTTTCCTTTGTTTCCCCAGATGAAAAAAGTCCTCAAAGGGAAATGTTTTGCCGATGTGGAAGAGGTGAAACAAAAAATGGCAGGAGCACTAAAAGGCATCAAAATTGACGAGTTCAAACTGTTTTGAGCAGTGGAAAAAACCTCTCATTTGGTGTACTGCATCAAACAAAGAGTACTTTGAAGGTGACTGAAGTTTAAACATGTAAGAATAAATACACAATTTTTTATAAATAAATTCCAGTCTTGGGGGCAGATTTTCCCCTCATATCCACCAGGATGGTCGTTTGACAAGGACACTGGAAGGGATGGTAGATTGACAAGGCACTGGAAGGGATGGAAGGAAGGACCACAGTGCTGTGGTCAGAAGGAGCTTGTACTTGCTGGAAACTTTTCACAAACACGACCCCGTTCACTCCTCACCACAACCCTTCAAGGTAAGTGATATAATTCCTTCCCATCTTATGGATGGGCACACTGAGGCATGGAGGGTGGGGGATAATAAGTTGTAAAACCAGGATTCTAACACAGATCTCTGCTCTTTTCATCCTGTCTTATTGCTTAAATATAAATTTCCTACCTCTTTCCTTAACTTCTTCAGACAAGCCATCCCTTCCTTCCTCCGCTCTGCACTCTCATTTGACCTTAAGCATTGCCATAACTTAGGATGACTTAGGTGCTTATCTCTTTCTCTATTTGAGTTCCCTGGAGGCAAGGTCAGGGTATAACTCGTCTGTGAATGCTCAGCTCTCAGCCCCTGGTACACAGTAGACACTTGAATGGGTGTGTGTTGAGGAAATAATAATCTGAGGCAGGAGGAGACAAGTGAGTGGTTTACATACTCGGGAGAGTAAACACTGGAATGAATCTGTGCTGGCATGGAGGGCTTCTAAGAAGCAGAGAGAAAAAAATGGAACAACAGGTGAGGAGAATGGGATGCACAAATGAACAGGACAAAAACACTCAAGGTGTGGTTGAGGGACCCCAGTAAGTCAAGGCAGCTCCCAGGGGACAGTTGTGGAGGGAAATGGTGGAAAATGAAGCTATGTAAGGTGGTGTGGCCTTATGACGTGACTCAATACAAAACAAAGGAACTTGGACATCCCCAGAAACTATAGAGCTAGTGCAAGAATTTGAGACTGAGTGTGGTGTGACAAAAGCTGTTTTAGGGAATGTTTTAGCTAACATTTATTTATCTTGGAAAAATGAAGAAGGTCATGCACGGTAGCTCATGTCTGTAATCCCAGCATTTGGGGAGGCTGAGATGGGAGGATTGCTTGAGCTCAAGGGTTCAAGACCAGACTGAGTAACAAAGCAAGACCTTGTCTCTGAAAAAATAAAAATTAGCCAGGTGTGGCGGTGCACACCTGTAGTCCCAGCTACTCTGGAGGCTGAGGTGGGAGAATTGCCTGAGCCCAGGAGGTTGATGCTGCAGTGTGCTGTGATCATGCCTCTGCACTCCAGCCTGGGCAACAGAGTGAGACCCAACTCAAAATTAATCAATTAATTAATTTTTAAAATGAAGGAAATATTGGAGGCCAAGAGACCAACAAGGAGGTTATTACAAAGTCCAGACAAGACTAGAATTTATGGCAGGGATGATCATGACCAATAAGGTCTTGGTGAAAGTGAGAGTTAGGGAACTGGGCTAAGGCAGAGGGCACAAAGAGAGGAGCAGCTAGGGCTGAGGTTCCAACTTTCCAATCCGAAATCAGGAGAACAAAAAAGAGTCTACACAAATGGAGAGATGGCGAGAAGGGAAAAATGAAGAGGACAAGCTTGTGGCACCACATAAAGGAAGGGAAGAGTACTTCCAAGAGGAAGCCACGGTCAAAGCTGCCAAGTGCGGCAAAGGGGGCCACAAATGATCAGGACCATGGACAGGGTCTTGGCCACATCAACCAGAAGATTGCCAGGGCCCTTCCATTCTCACATACTTAAAGTAAGGCTCACATTGAACTTTGTTAAACGGAAACTTCAAACACACAGAGCAGAGATGTTCATTATTTAGAGAGGTTCTGCCATAGTCTGTTGGCATGCCCAATAATAAAGCTTGTGAGCTTTGGTCCTAACAATACAGACTTTCATACAATAATTGGGATGCACTTTTAGCAGTTTGGAGATGCTCGGCTTGTTTGAACTTTATGATTCACAATAGTTTGTGATTTAGGAACAATTACCCAAGAAGCATAAGTAATGAACTGCCCATGCGTATGACACCACTTCTGCTTTGTCGCGAGACATAAGATGAGAGACATTGAGGACATAATTTAACCATATGCCTGGGGAGGCATACATTGCCCAGAGAGGGGAGTCAATCCTTATGTCCTTGCTGGCAGAGAACCAAGGAGAGCACAGAGAAGAATGCTCCACCACAGATTCCAACTCCACTCAGCTACAGATGCAGATCACATCCCAGACTACCTTGAGTTTGGTTCTTCCTGCCCTTCCTCCCACCTCCTGATGTAAATTTCAAATATTACAGTGGTCCAAAGAGAAAGGAAAAATCTTGGAATAAGAGAGATTCCAGGAATTTTAATGACTGTCTCATCCTACCCCCTCACTTTGCAAACGGAGAAACTGAGGCTCAGAATGAAGATATGGCTTGTTTAGTATCATCTAGTTAGGACCTGAATCTGCTGATTCCCACTGCATTTTCAGCCCCATCACCATGCTACAGAAATATTGAATAATTTCACAGCCTATGTGATCTGCCATTACCTAAGGACAGAAATCAAAGGCGATGAGGGAAAAAAAAGAAAGTTAAATATTGTTATACACAGATACGCTCTATTGAAGAAGAATCAATGATGAATGTGGAAATAAAGATAAAATTCAGCCATGCTGAGGTTCCTTGTTGCCTTTCTGGTTTCAACTGTTGATGATACAATTATATCCCAACAATTTGGAGAAAGTTAGATACAAGTATATCCCATCAGATATAGAATTATATCTCATCAATTTGAAGCAACTTAGAACAACTGGTCAAACAATGGTAACTCTGCTTCATAGCAATGCACTTATAAAAAAAAGTACACAAATATCATCATAACAAAATTACAAATTAAATTATTATTAAAGTGAGAACAATTGAGAGATAAGAAACACTACAAAGATGACACTGGAAGCTATTAAACGGAAAGATTATGAATGTTTTTTTTCTTCTCTGTACTTTTTTGTTCGCCCCAAATTTTTTGAAAACATGTATTACTTCTGCAAAAGAAACAAAATTTGCATTAAAAATTTTCAAAAGGAAATTCTTACATGTCTTTTGAAGAAACAATGAGATTTTAAAAGGGCCTTTAAGGTTCTTATTCCAATGTAATGACTACATTGCACTTGAGTTTGTTATCCTAGAAAGGAAGCCTCTGTGTGATTGGCATTCACAACCTTGTGCTAAATTCTGACTTTGCAGATTTCAAAGGTGACCTGTTAAGAAGTGATAAAGAAAGACCAAGCTGCCCATAGCTCATGGATTGACTGGCATGTGATCCAACCTTCAGGTAAAGGAAAAACCAAAGAGAAGTAGCCCTAGGGGAAATGTTCTACCATTGACTGCCAGCCCACGATCCAAGAAGCTTGGGTGTTAGAATCACCTTACACTGACCACATCCTTAGAATGAACTTCTCACATCTATGCACAGGATAATGATATTTCTTTTCTGGAACTATTATCTAAGTCAGATGAAGTCTAGAATCTCAGCATTTTGGAGCTGCCAAGGACTAACTGGTCTTTCTTCCAACTCTCTCTCTTTTTTTTTTTTTGAGTTGGAGTCTCACTCCATCACCCAGGCTGGAGTGCAGTGGCATGCTCATGGCCACCCCAGCATGGATTTGCTGGGCTCCAGCGATCCTTCCACCTCAACCTTCCAAGTAGCCAGAACTATAGGTGCACGCTACCACACCCGACTAATTTCTGATTTATTGTAGAGATGAGGTCTCGCCAAGTTGTCCGGGCTGATCTCAAACCTCCAGTTCAGGCAGTCCACTCACCTTGGCCTCCCAAAATACTGGGATTACAGGCTGAGCCACCAAGCCCAGCTCCAAATCTCTCATTGAACAAATGGGATAACTTTGACCAAAAAGGGGAAGTATCTTGCCCAAACTCAC